TTCTGCTGGTAATATAGGTGTTTCCTGTTGTAGTATTGTCATTTGTTAGTTTTCTCCTGGTAACGAGATAGGTATTTCCCTGTAATATATTGAAACCGTATAGTGTTCTGACATAAGTATTGCTGTTTATAAGATATGCTAATTTTATTTCTGTTTTAAAATTTTAAATGACAATGAGTTCTTGGATTAAAGCGAAAAATTGGACGTCTTTTAATACAAGGAAATCATGGGCTAGAATATTATGCGGAAGAATGAAGAACAATTGTATCAAAACAAACATCCTTTTCTGAGAAATAATCAGGAACACATTTTCGTTCATTATTTTGTGATTAATTGATCTTGCCGTATTTTGTTACGTTGCAGCGAAAGATATGCTATATTTATATATACAAAACACGTATTCTGTTAGCACTAAAATGCCAACTATAGAGATTTTTAATACTCCAACTGAGGCAATATAAAGCGAGTGATTTAGATAATGAGCATTATTATTGTGATGCATATCTTAATTATTACTCACTGACTTAAAGTACAATTTTGTTTACTCCTCGGCTTTAAGATCAAATTGATATCTGTGATGTTATCTCTGAGCAGGGGCGGATTGGCCCACCAGGCAATTTCCCGTACTGGTCCTTTAATGCCAATCCGCCCCTGTCACTAAGGTTGAACTAGTAAAGATCTGCGTTAAGTTTGGTTTTTAGAAGAAGAAAAAGTGAAATTATTTTTTAGTTTGATTTTTTTCAATCAACCATGACCATATTGGTTTTCGTAAATAAATTTTTGATGTTTTGCAGTGTTTTGGTGTTGTTTCTTTCCTGGAACTTCTTAAAATTTTGGGCTTTTATTGAGCTGGTATATGTTTGTGTACTGTGTTCGTACGAAATTTCTTTCCGGTCACGACGTACTTTTCAAATAAATGTTCGAAACATTTAATTTAAAGTTTCAGCGACTATAAAGAATGACGTTTTTAAAGAATTTGAAATCTTCGGGGAAATCCCATTCTTCAAGTGATCTTAATCTTGACTTACTAGTTAACAAAAACTTTGCATTTCCAGCTTATCATCGGTATTTCCTTGAGTTTTCCTACTTGTCTAGCCTGTTTTTAACGGCTTTACTGATTGTCCCTTTTATGGTAAACTTTGTAAAAGCACCTATTGAAACGAACAATTATACGTGAAAATATCAAGCAAAAGAAAGCACTTTTTTAACATATTGTACTCTTATCCTTCCACAAAGAAGTTATTTCACAAATTTTAGACAAATTTTAAAGATCACAAACGAAAAAGGTGTTTAAAACTTTCTCCAACCTTTTTTCTTCTCCTGCAACGATTGTCTCGTAAGTAAGATTTCAGAGAAAAAAAATATTTAAAGACCGAAAATAAGGCGTAACAAACGTAGTTTATTAGTGTATTGCAGAAACAAACGTAGTTTATTAGTGTATTGCAGAAACAAACGTAGTTTATTAGTGTATTGCAGAAACAGATGTAGTTTAGTAGTGTATTGCAGAAAATAATTGAATTTGAATTCGATTATTGATAGCGCTATTTTAAGTGATCTCTGGCTTAATCTGAGAAAATTAAAATAGTCTGCTGTTTTGCGTATGTAAGCTATAGTTAAGCCACATTGGGCTATCTACCGTGTCCACTGCAGGGAATCTAATTCCGGATTTTAACGTTGCACTTCCGTAGACTTATCGCTGTCTCACCGGATAGGGTCCCAGCCAAATCCGGAAAAGCATAAGTAAGTTACAGGGATGGGCAGAGCGCGATCTACCTAGTATTTTGCTGCAGCTGTAGAGGTTGAAGGCACGATGTCAAAGTTGAGCAGCTTTAAGTGATTAATCATCAGTCAGATGACTAGAAACAGTGACTTTAGTGACAGTGACTTTATTGTTTCTTCATGTTGTTGGCTAGCTCTCTCTTTTCTACCTGCTAGTTATCACCTGGTATGAAAGATTGAATGCTAGTTATCACTTCAATCTTTCATACCAGTCATTTCACTCTCACCTTCATTCACTGTCTTTCTTCTGTTGATAACTCCTCGTCGCATCTCTATTTATTTTATTTCATCATCTTTTGGGATAATTCAATGTTTTTCTTCGCCTCGGACGCTTATTTACATCGTTACCGTTGTCAGAAATAAACATTCTTTGACCTATTTTATGGGTTACTTTTCGCTCCCGGGGTACCCCGTCGTGGTCATAACCACACCTGTTGCACTGGTAACATTCTTGCGACCTTGTACTTCTCATGTAAGCTTCGAAACT